GGGAGCCTGATGTGGGACTCGATCCCAGGACCCTGGGATCATGACCTGAGCCGAAGGCAGACGCTTAACGACTGAGCCACCCAGGCGCCCCATGATTTCTCAATTTTAAAAATTAAGAAAATTAATTTGGAACAGTCAGAAACTTATAGGAAAATTGCATATATAGTACAAGGAACTATTTTTCATGAATCATTTGAGAGTGAGTGACAAACTGATGTTCTCTTACCTCTGAATTATTTTAGTGTGTATTTTCTGCAAACAAGGAAATTACCTACATATGTGGAAGACACCCATCAAAATCAGAAAATTAACATTCATACATTATAACCATATCATCCTTAGTTTCTATTCAAGTTTTTCCAGTTGCCAATATTGTCCTTTATCATGAAAAGATAAAATTTACAATTACTCATTGCAACTCAGTTATCAGGTTTTCCACTTGACCAGTTTCTTGATCTTTTTCCCAACTTCCATAACCTTGAAACTTTTGAAGATTTCAGATCAATTATTTTGTAGGATGTCCCTCAATTTGGGTTTGCCTGATACATCCTTGTGATTAGATTCAGGTTATGTATCTTTAGCTCATGTGTGACAGAGACATTTTTCTCATTTTATGTATTAGGTGACATATGATCTCCAGTTGTCCCATTTCTGATAATTTTCATTTTGATCACTGGATCACATGGAGTCTGCCTGGCTTCTTCATTATAAAGTTACTCTTTTCTTTTTTGCAATTAATGAGTACTTTATAGTGTATTTTTATACTTTGAAACAGTGTAAATATACCATTTTTAATAAAATGTTCAATTGATTAGTTTACTTATTATATGGATTCATGGTTTCCTCTTTTTGAGGTAAGATATTGAGAATGCATTTAGTATCTCATATCTCATAGTTTTCAATGAGAGAGGTGTGAAAGTCTCAGTATAAAAAGACCATGTGGGATGGGAGATACTGTTGTGGCCATCTTTGGGTAATACAACCTATGGCACTGAGAAAAGCATAGAAACTTTATCGTCAAGATCTTTTCCTAGTTTATTTTTATTTTTATCTTTATAGTCTGAGAAAAAAACTTGTGAAAAAAGCAAATACATTTTGCCTAACTGAGATACAAGATACTAAATGCATTCTCAATATCTTACCTTAAAAGAAGAGTTAAATTGAGCTGATGAAAAAGTAATTTACTTTGTGAAAATTCTAAATTAAGATGCTTAGTAAATCTTATGGGCTATTTATTATTATTATTATTTTTACAGCATCTGGTGGACTGTTTTTACTTAATTGGTCATTGTTATCTTAATAAGCATGGAGATAAGATTAGAAGTTTTAACATCAACAAGTATTAAGCAGAAAAAGCCCTGGCCACGAGTCTCCTGGTTGGGACAGGTAGGTTTTTCTTTCTTCATACAATACCAGCTGTAATAATGTGTTAAATGTATACTTTGCCTCTAAGCTAGAATGTTCTGTGGTCTTAAACCACCATCTTTAGAAGGATCACGTGCTCACAGAACAGGATTTTTGTGTTTGTTTTTGGTTTTTTATGGGAGCAAGTTAGCTTTTGCAGAAAGTTAAATGGTCTAAAAGAAGTATTTTACTTTGAAAAAATTTTTTTGTCTTATTATGTTTAAGGTTGAGATGGCATATATCAAGGGGAGGTATTTTTTTTAGGATTTTATTTATTAATTTGAGAGAAAGAGAGAGAGAACATGAGCAGGGGGAGGGAAAGGGAGAAGCAAGCAGCCTCCCTGCTGAGCATGGAGCATGATGTGGGGCCCCATCCCAGGATCTCGATATCATGACCTGAGCCAAAGTCTGATGCTTAACTGACTAAGCCACCCAGTTGCCCTCAAAGGGAGTTTTATAATGAAAAATTTTAATTTAAATATAATTAACATAACAATATTATACTAGTTTGAGGTGTATAACATTGTCTACAATTCTGTGCATTACTCAGTGCTCCTCACAATAAGTATAGTTGCCATCTGTCACCAGACAACACTATTACAATGTTACTGAGTATATACCCTGTACTGTACTTTTCATCTATGTAACTTATTTATTTATGACTGGAACTCTATACCTCTTAATCTCCTTCAAGGATTTTGCCCATCTCCCCACTCATCTCCCCTCTGGCAACCTCCAGTTTGTGCTCTCTCTCTCTGACAAATAAATAAACAAAATCTTAAAAAAAAATCCAGTAGTGGAATTAGTGGATCATATGGTATTTCTATTTTTAATTTTTTGAGGAAACTCCATACTGTTTTCCACAGTGGCTGCACCAATTTAAATTCCCACCAACAGTGCACAAGAGTCCTTTTTTCCTTCACATCCTTGCCAAACACTTGTTATTTCTGGTTTGTTGGTTTAAAAGATTTTATTTGTAAGTAATCTCTATACCCAACATAGGGCTCAAACTCACAACCTGAGACCAAGAGTCTCATGCTCCACTGACTGAGCCAGCCAGGTGCCCCTTTTGTCTTTTTTTTTCTTTCAAGATTTTATGTATGTATTAGAGTGAGAACACGAGCAGGGAGGGGGGCAGAGGGAGAGCCAGAGAATCTCAAGCAGATTCCCCGCTGAGCATAGCCCAATGCGGGGCTAGAACTCGATATCATGACCTGAGCCAAAACCAAGAGTCCGATGCTTAACTGAGCCACCCAGGCACCCCTCTGCTTGTCTTTTTGATTCTAGTCATTCTGACAGGTGCTAGGTGATATATCTCAGTGTGGTTTTGATTTGCACTTCCCTGATGATTAGTGATATTGAGCATCTTTTTATGTATCTGTTGGCCATCTGTATGTCTTTTGTAGAAAAATGTCTATTCAGGTCCTCTGCCCATTTTTAATTGGATTATTTGGGTTTTTTTGGTGTATAGTTATATAATTTCTTTGTATACTTTGGATTTTACCCCTTACCAGACATATCATTTGCAAATGTCTTCTCCCATTCAGCAGATTGCCTTTTTGTTTTGTTGATGGTTCCCTCCTGCATGGTGCAAAAGCTTTTTATTTTTGTATAACCAGAAGGGAATATTTAATCTTCTGAACCTTTCCTTACTGGAACAGTCAGTGGAGTGTTTCCTCCCATTGTGATTTTCATGAGTATTCAATAAAAGTGCCCCTTAGAACTTAGAATAAAGATGGGCCAAAATATACCAGCAATCCAGGAATACCATTCACAATATATGGGATAGATTCCTCACCTTAGGGAAAGTTGGCAAACCTATAAAATCCTCTTAGAATATGTAATAATTATGAAAATTTAAAAATTTGCTGTTTAGAGTCATTTCCTATGAGAAATTGTATTTTTAACTTCCTCTAGAACAGTGTCTCTTGAACTTTGCAGTGGTTCAGAATCATCTGGTGATGCCCAACCCAGGGCTTGAACTCACAACCCTGAGATCAAGACCTGAGCTGAGATTGAGTCAGATACTTAACCGACTGAGCCACCAGGCACCCCTTTACCTGGTGATGTTTTTATTTATTTATTTATTTAAAAGATTTTATTTATTTATTTGAGAGAGAGAGCACATGAGAGGGGGCAGGGTCAGAGCAGGGAGCCTGATGCCAGACTCAATCCAGGGACTCCAGGATCATGACCTGAGCCGAAGGCAGTCGCTTAACCAGCTGAGCCACCCAAGCGCCCTGGTGATGTTTTTAAAACAAGTGTTGGGCCCCACTCCCGGAGTTTCTGATTGAGTAGTTCTGGGTGGAGAGTGTGCATTTCTAACAGGGTCTCAGGTGTTGCTGATAGTGTTGGTTAGGTGGTACTTTGAAAACCACTGCCCTAAAATATATGAAAACAAGGTTCATTCAAAACAGCATGCTTTTTCTAGATAATAAAAAATGATCAGAACCTGGGTTTTATAAATTTCAGAAGCCATATCTGTTTTAATCTAGGTAAATAATTTAAAAACTTGCCCATACTACTGTTCAAATTGATGAAATTAAACAACACATAACTCAGTTTTGGCTAGCAGAATTAGAAGACACTCCTATAATTTTATTTATTTATTTATTTAAAAGATTTTATTTATTTGACAGAGAGAGACAAAGCGAGAGAAGGAACACAAGCAGGGGCAGTGGGAGAGGGAGAAGCAGGCTTCCCGCGGAGCAGGGAGCCTGATGCGGGGCTCGATCCCAGGACCCTGGGATCATGACTTGAGCCAAAGGCAGACGATTAATGACCGAGCCACCCAGGTGCCCCAACACTCCTATAATTTTATTTTATTTTATTTTTTTTTTCTTTTTCTTCTTTTACACTCCTATAATTTTAAAGGTCAAAAAGATCTAGATGCAACCATTAGATTATTCTACCTAGTAATTCTATTAAGAAGTATTTTAAGATAGAATGAAAAAAATCTCCAGGTTACCTAATCAACCTTATTGTTCATTTTATTATTTGTGGTACAAGTATATAATCTTTCTTGAATGTCACTTTATTTTCCTTTCTGGGATTATTTAGCTTAGAGGTTGAATTAACTTCTGGAACCTCTTAAGTCTCACATGTTTCTTCTCTTAGGAAAATGAAGCTGTTTTTCTTTTGGATGATAAATTCATAAATGAAATTAATTTGCTGTCAGGAAGAACAAAGAAGAAAATTCCTTGTCTGCAGCCTTTACTGAAGGATGTTATTGTCCTAACAACATCCAGTAATGGTTAAGTAGTACTGATATTTTCAAAAGGCTAGATTAATTGTGTTTGTTCATAATTTGGGGTAATATCAAGGGAAATATTAGATTATAAGTATTGTATTTCCTTTTTGGAAACAGATGCCTGGCTGGCTGGGGTACTCACTACAGGGGAGCTTTTTCTTTGGAACAAAGATCAAGATTGCTTGAAAACTATACAGACAACTGAAGAGCCTAAGAAAATGATTCAAGTTGCAGTAGGTAGGAGTTTTTTATTTACTTAAATTGGTTTACTTGGTAAATAGAAGGAAAAGAAGATGAAACATTTTCCTATTCCTATTTTAAAAACACATCTCTGTATGTGTGCATATATATATCTGTATAGATAGAGAATATATACTTATATATGTTTTCTTATATATGTATGAATTTTTTTGGTGGTGTTCATTTGTGATACTTAGATTCATCTTGAAGAAAAGTCTGGCCTATCATATCTGATAACAGTGGGTTCCTAATATCACGTAACAAATACATGATAAATGTTACTATTATTTGTATTTTTAATTTATTAGTTGTGCCTTAGTTTTATCCTGAGTGGACGCATCATTTAGGTTTCTTATTGTCAGAATAGATAAATTATGTACTTTCTGGGAAGAATTCAGACTTCAGAAGTTTAATTAACTTTTTTTTTTTTTTTTAAGCAAGCTCCTTGAGACTGTACTTGTATGTATCTGGAAATGGGAAAAGAGTTCTGCTTATAACTCCTTCTGGATGCATATTTCTTTGGGAATATTTGGAATTCAAGAATATCTTCTCTTCTAAAAGCCCTTCATTGGTAGGCCAGTGGTCCCAGATCATACCTGAAGAAGCAGTTCATTTGCCTTCTAAAGAAGATAAAGAAGCTGTAGTGCATGCTGTTTTTATAAAAAATGAGGTAAAATCCAAATCAGACAGGGTGTTATAGAAGTTGAGATCTCAGACTCTAAGAACAGACACTATTTGTGAAGCTATTGAGCAGAGTGTGTAAAGCACTGTTCTGTATCTTTAGTCATCATTAATTGTCACGGTAAATATGAAATTATTGTGGAAAAAATATTTTTACATTTCTTGGTCATATTTTTTAAAATGCTTATTAAAAATGGTTTGAACTCCACCAAAAAAACTACTAGAACCGACAAATGAATTCAGTAAAATCATAGGATATGAGATGAATATATAGAAATCTCTTGCATTTCTCTACACTAGTAATGATGTAGCAGAAAGAGAAATTAGGAGAACAATTTCATTTATAATTGCACCAAAAAGAATAAAATACCTAGGAATAAACTTAACCAAGGAGGTGATGGGCGCCTGGGTGGCTCAGTCGTTGGGCGTCTGCCTTCAGCTCAGGTCATGATCCCAGGGTCCTGGGATCGAGTCCCACATCGGGCTCCCTGCTCGGCAGGAAGCCTGCTTCTCCCTCTCC